TCTTTTTTCCTTTTCTTTCCTTTCCTGTCTGCAGAGGGTTTTCGTGAGATCTGTCCTGCTGGGCCCGGCTACCACTACTCGGCCTCTGACCTCCGCTACAACACCAGGCCCCTGAGCCAGGAGCCACCCCGGGTGTCCCTCAGCCAGCCCCGTGTTCCACCCTCCACCTCTAGGCCACCTGCAGGTGAACTGGGTTCTGGGGGGGAGTGTCATCTCCAAGGGGCTACCCCAGGCCCAAGGAGTGGGGATATGCAAATCCAATCGACCTGAGGATATATATTTTTTTAAGATTTATTTATTTATGCATACAAAACTGGGGTACAGGCCAGAGGTACAGGGGGTGAGAAGATTCACCAGAGACAGAGTGGGGAGCAGAACAGGCAGATCGATTGAAATCCCCTGCTGAGGGGAGCAGCAGGCAGGTCAGGAGAGGTCTGCTGTGCCCTGTGGGTCAGCTCCCTGGCCTGGGATCAAACTTGTGCTGCAGACAGTGTCATAGTGCTGTGTTTTAATCCGTTGTGCCAATAGGCAGGGCCCTGATATCCATCCTTTACTAGACTTTCTGCTCATACATCTCCCAGAGCCCAGACCTGAAAGCAGGCCTGAGCGAAGGCCAGAGTCTAGACCCGAACGCCGGCCAGAGACCCCAACAGAACGACGACCAGAACCCCGACCCGAAAGTCGGCCAGACACCCGGCCTGATCGTCGGCCAGAGACCAGGCCTGATCGTCGGCCAGATGCCCAACCTGAAAGTCGGCCAGACACACGGCCAGATCGTCGGCCAGACACACGGCCAGATCGTCGGCCAGACACGCGGCCTGATCATCGGCCAGATCGTCGGCCAGACACACGGCCTGATCATCGGCCAGACACACGGCCAGATCGTCGGCCAGACACACGGCCAGGCCCTGAGCTTCCCCTGCCCAGCATCCCAGACTGGACTGGTCCTGAGACGTCTGAATCAGGTGTGGTAGAGGGAAATGAGGGTGTCTAGGGGAGGTACTGAAGACGAGGCTCCCAGGGCAGTCTCCAAGGCGGAGCTTTCAGGAGAACGAACAGTGCATCCCAGTTAGAGGAACTAAGGCAAGGGAAGAGGTCAAGGCTTGGGGGCTTGGTGGGTACTTGGTCAGGAGCTGGAGCTGGACAGACCTGTCAGGGGAGCGAGCGAGTTTAACCTCAGTGAGCCTCGGCTTCCTCATCTGTAAAGCCGGTGTCAGAGTGGGGACTCTGAGCTCTCTGGGGACTGCCAAGTGCTCAGCTCATGTGAAGCAAATTATTGCTCTTCAGCAGCTACGGAACTCTTCAGGCAGAGGACTGGAAGTAGAATATTCCAGAATGGAGACTTTCGGGTGGCATTATGGCGATCCTGGCTGGGAGTGCTGAGACTGTCCCTTGATGAGGGAGGGAGTCGGTGGAGGCAGAAGGCTTGGGGCGGGTCACCCCAAGGGCTGTTCTAGGCAGAGAATCTAAGGGGGTTGTACTGGGATGAAAGGGACAGAGGGCTCAGAGATGGGGGAACCCTGGCTGACTGGCCCCCCCAGGTTCCTCCGTGGGTGTCTGTCAGCGCAACCCCCAGGTCTGCGGCTCCGGAAGGTGCATCCCACGGCCGGGCGGCCACACGTGTGCCTGCGACCCGGGTTTCCAACTCAACCCTCAGGGCACGCACTGCATCGGTGAGCCGGGCAGACCGGGCAGGGGGTGGGGGGCCCCCCGTCCCCTCCTCACCAGCCCCTTCTGCCTCAGATGTGGACGAATGTCGCCGAGTGCCCGCGCCCTGTGTTCCGGGGCGCTGTGAGAACACACCTGGCAGTTTCCGCTGCGTGTGTGGCCCGGGATACCGGGCCAGCCCCAGGGCTGGGGAGTGCCTGGGTGAGGACCCCCCCCTCTAGCCTCCCCCCCACTCCTCCACTGTACCCTGGCCTCTTCCTCACCGGCTGGTCCCAGCCTTTCTGTCCCCTGGCGGTTTCCCCCCACCAGTTCCCACCCCTCCCTGGGCCGTGAGCCGCCCCGTCCCTGCCCTGCTCCCCAGATCCCTCCTCTGGCCTGCACCTACCTGCCGAGACCCAATTCTGGGATTCCCACGCTGCCACAGCAGCGCAGCATCCGAATTCACCCCTTCCCTGGCTCCCGCTTTTCCTTTGCTGGGTCCCCAGAACTTCCCTTCTGCCATAGCTCCGTGGGGACCCTGCCCACCCCCGTTGCCTTCTGTCTGGCTCCCCTCCCCCTCCGGGCCTGGCCTGGGTTGGAGCCCTGCCTGCGCCCTAAGCCTCCCCACCCCCAATCAGCCCCAGCCTGGTTTCCCCAAGAGTTTGGCCCCGGCCCTGTCCTGCCTGGCTACTTCTGGGTCTGGGGTGTGGGAGGGGTGTGGTGAACGCTGCCCCCAGCCTCAGCCGCCCGCCTGCGCCGCAGACGTGAACGAGTGTCACCGCGTGCCGCCGCCCTGTGAGCGTGGTCGCTGCGAGAACACCCCCGGCAGCTTCCTGTGCGTGTGCCCGGCCGGCTACCAGGCTGCCCCGCACGGAGGCAGCTGCCAGGGTGAGGGCTTGGGCCGGGCAGAGCCAGCGCAGGAGACAGGGATGCGTGGGGCGGTGTGGAGGGCTGGAGAGGCAACGGGAAGGTGTGGACCCAGTAAGGAGGGAGGCCGCAGGGGCGGGGGCAGCGTCCCAGACCCAGAGAGCCGGTGGGTCAGAGGCTGAGTGATGGAAGCAGAGGCCGGGGTTCCTGCGGGCACACGGGCAGTGTGGAAGGGTGGGGCGGCCAGAGGCAGGAGGATGAGAAGCAGCTTGATGCCGAGGTGGCAAAACGCTGCAAGATGGAAAGTCAGGGCGAGAGTTAGGGACGGGGAGCAGGTGGGGGTGTAAACCTGGTGTGACCCGAGCCCCGGTGTGACCGTGAGCCCC